GCCAGATGCAGCTGTCCCAGAATTGTAAGCCAAATAAACCTCTCTTCTTTATAAATTGCCCAGTTTCAGGTTGTTCTGTTACAGCAACACAAAACGGACTAAAACACCAAGGAAAGTAAAGAAATATAAGGAAGGTTGTTATGTAATGAAAAAGGGATCAATTCAACAAGAGGTCATAACAATTCTAAATATATACACACCCAACTCCTGAGCACCCAGTTATATAAAGCAATTACTATCAGACCTAATGGGAGAAATGACTCTGACACAGTAATAGTTGGGGATTTTAACACTCCACTCTCAACCAAGGGTAGATCATCCAGACAGAAACAACAAAATTAATCTCTACTCTAGGCTGACTTGACCTAATGAACATATGTAGAACGTTTCATCCAAAGCTGCAGCATAAACGTTCTTCTCAGCAGCACATGGAACAACATTCTCTAGAATAGACCATACATTAGGTCACAAAACAAGTCTCAACAAATTTAAAAAGTCAAAATCATACCACCTACCTTATCCTACCACAATGGAACAAAACTAGAAATCAACAAGAAAGCAACGCTAGAAACCATATAAATATATTGAAATTAAACAACATTTTCCTAAACAATGAATGGTCAAAGAAGAAATCAAAAAGGAAATTTAAAAAATTCCTGGAAACAAATGAAAATGAAAACACAATAGAACCTATGGGACACAGCAAAAACAGTTCTAAGAAGGAAGTTTATAGCAATAAATGCCTACATCAAAAAAGAAGGACTTCAAACAACCTAACATTACACCTCAAGAGCTGGAGAAACAAGAACAAACCAAACACCAAATCAGTAGACGGAGAGAAATAACAAAGATCAAAACAGAAATAAATGAATTAGAGATAAAAAAAAAATACAAAAGATCAATGAAACAAAGAGTCAATTTTTCAAAAAGAAAAACAATGTCAATAAACCTTTAGCTAGACTAACAAAGAAACAATGAGAGAAGACTCTATGTAAAATCAGAAATGAAAAAGGGGACATTGCAACTGATGGCACAGAAATACATTGGATCATAAGAGAATACAACAGACAACTATATGCAAAGAAACTGAAAAACATAGTAGAAATGGATAAATTTCTGGACACATATAACTTACCATGGTCGAATCATGAAGAACTAGAAAATTTAAGCAGACCAATAACAAATAATGAGATTGAAGCAGTAATAAAAAGTCTTCCAACAGAGAAAACCCCAGGACCAGACGGCTTCACTCCCAAATTCTACCAAACATTTAAAGAAGTAATACCATTCTTCTCAAACCCTTCCAAAAAATTGAAGAGGAGGGAGTACTTCTAAACTCACTCTACAAGGCCAACATTAACTTCATACTAAAACCAGAAAAAGACACAACTAAAAAAGAAAACTACAGACCAATATTTCTTATGAACAAGATGTGAAGTTCCTCAGTAAAATACTAACAAACAGAATCCAACAACACATTAAAAAGATCATTCACCTGATCAAGTGGGATTCATCCCAGGGATGCAAGGATGACTCGACATATGCAAACCAATAAACGTGATGTATCACATCAACGGAATGAAGAAAAAAACCCATCTGATCATTTCAATAGATGCAGAAAAAGCATTTGATAAAATCCAATATCCCTTCATGATAAAAACACTCAACAAATTACGTATAGAAGGAATGTACCTCAACACAATAAAGGCTATATATGACTAACCCACAGTTAATATCATACTGAATGGATAAAAATCGGAGGCTTTTCCTTTAAAATCTGGAACAAGATAAAGATGCCCCTTTCCCCACTATTATTCAACATAGTACTAGAAGTTCTAGCCAGCACAGTATGGCAAGAGAAAGCAATAAAGGGCATTCAAATTGGAAAGGAGGAAGTCAAACTATCCCCAAAAAGACTCCACCAAAAACTTACTAGAACTAATAAATGAATTCAGTATAGTGACAAGATACAAAATCAACACACAAAAATCAATAGCCTTCCTATATTCTGATGATGAAATAGCAGAAGAAATTAAGTAGTACCACTTACAATAGCTATCAAAAAATGAAATATCTATGAGTAAATTTATCCAAGGAGGTGAAAGACCTCTACAATGAAAACTATAAAACATTGGTGAAAAAAATTGAAGAGGACACAAATAAATGGAAAGATATCCCAAGTTCTTGGGTTGGAAGAATTAACATCATCAAAATGTGCATATTACCCCAAGCAATCTGCACATCCAATATAATACCTATCAAAATACCAATGACATTCTTCACAGAAATAGAAAAAAACATCCTAAAATTTGTATAGCACCACAAAAGACCCCATATAGCAAAGGCAGTCTTGAAAAAAAGGAAACGTTGGAGGCATTACATTGACCTCAAAATGTGCTATAAAGCTATAGCATGGTACTGGCATAATAACAGACAAATAGATCAATGGAACAGAATAGAGAGCCCAGAAATAAAGCCATGCACCTACAGCCAACTGGTTTTCAGCAAAGGTGTCAAGAATATACAGTGGGGAAAGGACAGTCTCTTCAATAAATGGTGCTGGGAAAACTAAATATCCACATGCAGAATGTTGAAACTACACCCCTGTCTCTCACCATACACAAAAGTCAACTCAACATGGATTAAAGACCTAAATTTAAGACCCGAAATTATGAAACTACTAGAAGAAAACGTGGGGGGAATGCTACACAAGATGGGCGTGGGAAGTGCTTTTCTGAGGGAGACTACAAAGGCACAGGCTACGAAAGCAACCATACACAAAACGGGCTACATCAAATTGAAAGGCTTCTGCACAGCAAGAGACACTATCAAAAAAGTGAAGAAATAGGGCCGGCCCCGTGGCTCACTTAGGAGAGTGCGGTGCTGGTAGCACTGAGGCCATGGGTTCAGATCCTATATAGGGATGGCCGGTGCACTTACTGGCTGAGCGTGGTGCTGACAACACCGTGCTGAGGGTTGCAATCCCCTTACCGGTCAAACAAAAAAAATGGGCAAAGGACCTGAACAGACATTTTTAAAAAGAAGACATGCAGATAGCCAACAAACACATGAAAAAATGCTCAAAATCACTAAGCATCAGGGAAATGCAAATTAAAACCACAGTGAGATATCACCTCACCCCAGTTAGAATGGCTATTATCAACAAGACAGGCAATAACAAATGCTGGTGAGGATGCCCAGAAAAGGGAACCCTCCTACATTGTTGGTGGAAATGTAAATTGGTATAGCCATTGTGGGAAACAGTATGGAGGTTCCTTGGAGAACTAAAAATAGATCTACCCTATGACCCAGCTATCCCACTACTGGGTATATATCCAAAGGAAGTGAAATCGATATATCAAAAAGACACGTGCACTCCCATGTTCATTGCGGCACTATTCACAATAGCCAAGAGATGGAATCAACCTAAATGCATGTCAATGGAAGAATGGATAAAAAAACTGTGGTATACATACATAATGTATACTATTATGTATATTATGTATTCTAATGCATACACAATGGAATACTATTCATCTATGAAAAGAAATGATATCCCATCATTTGCAGCAACATGGATGGAACTGGAAACCATCATGTTAAGTTAAGCAAGTCAGGCACAGAAAGACAGATACAGCATGATCTCATTCATATGTGGAATCTAAAAAGAAATGTGGTTTTCGTAGAAGTAGAGAGTAGAATCATGGTTACCAGAGGCTGGGATGGGGGCGGAGGGAAGGGGTGGTCTATGAAGGGGTACAAGACTATGCTATCTACCCTAAGTGAATCATTGTGCAGTATATGTATGTATTGAAACAACACAGTGCACCCCACAAATATGTACAAGTAAACACTAAAATAAAAGTTAAAAATTTACAATTTTCTACTAGAAAAATAAAATAAGTAAAGAAAAATAAAATAAAATAAGATGGGTACATTGTATGTAAATTACACCTTAATAAAGTTAGTTAAAACGTGTGATGGTTAATTTTATGTGTCTGCTACGACAGTACCCATATATTTAGTCAAACATTATTCTAGATGTTGCTGTAAAGGTATTTTTTTAGATGAGATTAACATTTAAATCAATAGACTTTGAATAAAACAGATTAGCCTTCATAATGCTTGATGGACCTCATCCAATCAGTTGATGGCCTTAAAAGAAAAAGACTGACCTCCCCAGGAGAAGAGGGAATTCTGCTAGCAGACTGCCTGTGGACTCCAACTGCAACCCTTTCCTGGGTCTTCAGCCTTCCCTGCAGATTTTGGACTTTCCAGCCCCCTCAATAATATGAGTTAATTCCCTAAAATAAATTGGAATCTCTCCCCTTCTCTCACTTTTTATATATGCATATGTGCATCACACACACACACACACACACACACACACACACACACACACACACACACACACACACACACACACACCTTGTTGTTTCTGTTTCTCTAAGAAGAAAAGTAAGCCTGCATCTCAACTCTTCCCTGAGAATCTTATGGCTTTGTGGAGAGAGAAGACCAACATGGCCACAGAATTAATATAAGAACAAACATGAAATCTCTTCTCATTTTGCAACTCTAGTTTCTCTGCCTACAAAATCAGTGCAAGATGAGTCTTTGCTGAATGACTCAGAGTTATTGTGAGATTTTGGTTGACTGAGAACCTTGAGTTATTCCAATTCAGTTGAAGGATGCTGTCACTCAAGTTTTCGGATTGACCCAAAGTGGTTTTTGAGTATGTCGCTTGAGTGCCATCAATAAGTTAAGCCTCCCAGGGATGATTTGGGGGCTTTTTTTTTTTTTTAACTTGGAGAGGTAATTGGGTAAGGGACATAAAAAGTAATTATGATTTGTATTGATGAACATGCTAATAATATCTGTTTGATCACTGTACACAAATACTTATAGTCACCTATAAGTATTTAGTATACTTCTGTACCCCATAAATATATAAATGAAAATAATAATAAAAAATAAAAATAAAAATATCTTGTCTCTCACAGGGCAAGTCTTACTCCTTTAGGGGCCCATTCCCACCTGTGTGGAATCCAATCAGCTACCTAGATCATAACAACCTTTGGAGGACGATGGACAACATGGGGCGTGAGGTAAAGCTGCTTAAAGCTTCTTTGACTGCATTTGTGTTTTTCATAAAAAGTTTAGTCCTTAAAAGAAAGAAGGTGCAGTATACTACCAGTGCCTTGCACATTGTCAAGCACGTGGTAACAATCAGTAAAGATCTGTGAAATGAGTGAATGAACTTGTATCCTGACTTGTATCCATCACATATTGTACACAAATACTGACAGTCAACTCTGTACCCCGCAAATATGTATAATCAATTATGTTTCAATACAAAAATAACAAAATTTTAAAAACATGTAAAAGAATTAGATGCCAAAAAGCCTGCTATTTTCATATAACTACTGAGGGAGCAGAAGATCATGTATCACTCACCGTTCCTCAGATGATGTTTCTAATTTAGAAAATTCTCAGAACATAGCAAAGTGAGGCTTCGGGGTCTTTGATTCACCAGTATTCCCAAACCTGCAGCCTGTAAGTAAACATACACAAAGCTTAACTGAAAACTCCTATTTAGATGTGGTTTGGTGCAGCTGTCTGGTCCTTGTTAAAGAGCTGAATTTATCAATATTCTCTGTAAGTTAGTAACTTAGTAATCCATATTTGGAAACAGCCCAATTACCATGTACTTCCATTTATTGTGCAGGAAGTGTTATCAGAAATTAAATATGGCTTGAGTGCTGCAGATCTATAAAGAAAGCTACACAGAGAGCATTGATTATGTTGTAAAATAACTATTGGGCAAATCAGGAAAATTCACATTTTTCTTTTTTAAGTTAGAGTTTTTAATACTATTTGAATAGTTATTTAAAATGGAAAATTACATTTGTCTTTCTCCTTCAAATCCTCACCTGAATGTAGATTCCCAGTGATGCCCCATGGAAGGCACCCCTTGCAGAAGAGTGGGACAACATGACAATGAAAGAGTTGCTGGACAAGATCTGCTGGACTGAGTAAGACTCCCCATTAGGTGCAGGAATTTATTGTGACCATCTTTCAGGTTTATTTAGCAATTCCATTCAACACATATGGGACAAGTAGCTGCTTTGTATCTAAAACCATGCCACTAGCCAGGTGGAATACTGAAAAATATTGGAACTGGGTCGTACCCTACAGATATCTTTACATCCAACTTACTTCTTTGGGACAGTTTTGCATCACAAAGGTGGTATTACCCGTAAAGTCCTCAGAGCAGACCAGAATGTGCCACGTCCTTAACTTAGAACAGCTTAAAGATCTCATTTGTCAAGTTGTTAATGTAAAAATACTTTTGTATTCCTCACTGGTGGTGAAGTGTAGAGAGGGTTAACGTGCACATTCGAAATACCTTATGTGATGTAGTGCAACTCTTCGAGAATTTGAAGAGGAGCTTCTAGAAAAGTACTCTAGATCATTTACAACTGTAGGGGAAACATGTATGACTGGATCAACTGCTCCCGTTTCATAAAAATCATGTAGTATTGAAAGTAACTATTCATTAGTCAAGCATTAAATTCTTGTTGGCAGAACTGGGAACTATATATAAATTACAGAGGCTGTATAGACAGATGACATGGAGAGAGGCCTCGCACTGCTCTTGAACATGAGGGAAAATGGAAAGGATTGTGGGGATTCCAATTCGAGCACATGGTAAATTCATGGTAAACAAAGTTAAGAGAAATGGAAGCCAAGGAGACTGTCCCCTCATGCTAAACAGCATTAGCTGGGAATATGTTTGGCTCTGGGGTTCATGTCTTCATTCTCTAGACATTGGGTAGGGAAGCTGGGACACTGCCAACAAAAAGTAAAAACAAGTTTTTAGGAATATCTGAATCTAAGAAGTAGAACTAATCAAAAGACATAAAATTTACATGCTTCTTGATATAGAAATTTAGCCTCTTAGAATTTGGCTTAAAGAAGGAAAAGAAAAGAAGAGAGAGAGGCATACCAGGAGGGAGGGAGAGAGAGACAGAGAGAGGCAGATTCAAAATATTATTCTTAAAAGGAAAAATATAAATGTCCAATAATAGTAGATTGGATAAATTAATTATGGGACATCAAAAAATGGTATATTCTAGTCTTTTAAAACCATGTTGCAGAGGAATGTTAATGACCTGAAAAAATCATAATATTAAACACACGGAAAAGCAGGCTCTCATGGTATCAGAGTAATATATGGTGTCATTTCTAAAAACAAAAGTGTTTATATATACACTGCAAAAGCAATGGACATTCATCAAAATTTTTTTAACATTTAATACTATGATGCAAACATTTATTTTTAAATGTTTTAAAATATTACATCATTAAGAAGTCTTCTTTAAACATCATATTTCATGGTTGCAGAATATTCCGTAGAAAGTAAATATCATAATCCATTATCCATGATCCATTATCATCCCATTGGACATTTTGGTTACTTCTAATTTTTCATTATTATTATTATTATTATTATTATTATTATATAATACTCTGTAATAAACATCTTTCTGCTTCGCCTATGTCTTCAACCTTTAAAAGCTACCAGTTCTGGAATAGTTAAAGTCCTTTTATGTCACGGAATCAATGCCTATTATAAACTATACCCTTTTTAACACTTACCCAATGCTATTTAATGCTTCTTATGAGAATATAGTTTGCAATATAATTTATTTTGATTGTAATAAAATTGTATTTATTCTTAAATAAATACTTTAGGTTTTTAAAATATAGTGAATATATAATTATCTGCATTTATTTTATAACTTCTGTTATGAAAAGCTTTCAATAAATCCAGTTAGGTCTTTTCTCTCCAGAGAGCTTTTAAGCTCTTTGAAGATAGGACCAATTATATTTCTTTGGGATCATAGAGACCTGACATTTTCTATCATAGCCCTTGGCCTAGCCCTCCACTTAGTGAGTATCCTAGGTTGTTCTCTGACAAAATGAAGCATTCTGAGATATTAAGACTACAAACTAATCTTCTAATTTTCCTAAGCAAGATATATATGGTGTCATTTTCTGATTTTAAAGGAAGTAATCCCTGGATTACTTGGCATTTTCAAACTAAAGCACAATCATACGTTCAAAGTTCAATGTTGATCATTTTTTTAGTTCTTGTCATTTATAAAGTGCTCTTCAGAGACACAAGTTATATTTTCAATGTGATCACAGCTATGTAAATATGTTTTTAAAAAACCTATACCTAGAAAAAAATGCATCAAAATGAGACTAGTGATTAAATTTGGGGGAGCAGGTATATGGAAGATACTCATTCTCTCACCTTTTTATCTTACAAATTTTCCAAATTTTATATAATATGTATATATTTTCTATATAGAAAAATACTATAACATTTATCTTCTAGTCAGCATGGCAAAAAATACAACAAAATTATTGCACTAGCTTCCTTGACTTTCCATCCCTCAAATATTGTTCTTCTCATTTCTTTTCTTACTGAAGCTCCCAGAGTAAATCAAATAAAGGTTTACAAATGGACTGGCCCTCCAGAGAGAATTACTTTTAGATCTCCCTTCATTTCAAACCAGGATTATTTCTTTCCCACCAAATTGGCAACAATAACAATGAGAATTGCAGCAATATTTTTATGTTTAATATTGGCTGTCTGGCTGGGCCAACATTAAGTTATAGTTATTTATTACTCCCTTTACTTTATGCCCCGGAATTCACCTATAAAATAAGGAACAAAAGAAATAGGATATCAGAAAACAGCAAAGGATGGTTTTCGCTTTGGAGTAATATTTTAAACTGATGTCTGGATATTTGCTTTAGCTAGATACCACAAATTGCCTCTGCAAGGAAGGCATGAATCAGTGATTTCCATCCCTTCAGTTATCATGAGAAATCTTACAAACTATCTCTAAGTCACTTCAATGTATATATGATACCGTTTTGCCGGCTGTGATGATGGGAATGGTCAAAAAGTGCTGTCAGGTTGTTATGGCTGCAAACATTGTTGGTAACTGGTATGTGTGTTAGGCATGATTGTACAAACTTCCAGGGTCAAGGTACACTAGAGTAGAAAGATGTTCCTTGGTGGATATTTGCACTTCCTAAGTTGTCATCTGACTATTTACAAAGCATTTTGAGGTATTAAAAGCATGAGGTTTGAGTCAGGTATGATCAGGTTTGAGTCAGGTTTGAAGTTGTACCACTTAGTGAGTTACGTAGCTATGTGTCTAAACTCTGAGACTCAGTTTTCTGGCTTGTGAGCTGTGGGAAAATATGACTATATTATAGGGTTGTTATGACAATTACAACAAGATAATAATTTTAAAGACCACGGAATGTGGAAAGAATTCAGTAAATGGAAGATGGTATCATTTATTTCACCCATTGTCAGGACTACTGGGTGGAAAATTCTGTGTCTGATGGAACCAGATTAACAACACACAAACTTTACATCAAAGTCAAGAGTGGGATTGGTCTTTATTAAAGATATCCCAGAGTGCACATTACTACTGGTGAATTTTAGGATGTGCTCAATATAACTGAGTCCTTGGAATTGCATGAAATCATTTACTTTCTTGTGTGCCTCCTGATAAGATATAACCTGTAGCCATTACCTGCCAACCCCAGTCAAAAGTTCACTCATGTATGCTCTATGAATAGCTTTCTCCTTCATCCATCCTTTGAGCTTGTCTTCCATTAGGCAGTAAAATAACTAAATAGATAACTGTAACTACTTTTGTGTTTGGTACAGCACCTAGCATATCCTTTGCACATTACAGACATTTTAAAAATAATGTTTAATTGATATTTTTCATCATTCATTCATTCATTCATTCAATCAGTCAGTCAGTCATTCAACAAGTAATTATTGAGTCCTTACAATGTGCCAAGCACTATTTCATTAAAGGGGACACTACAGTAAGCAAAAAAGATATGGTCTCTGCTCTTGTAGATTGATATTCTAGTGAGGGAGACAGAGCTAAAAATAATAAAACAATAATCAAGACAATTTCAGACAGTGAAAAGAGTTCTAAAGACACTATACAATGGCAAAATGATAAAGAATGCCGGTGTGCAGGGGATGTGGAAACTGGCGCTCCTGTTCATAGATGAAGAGGAGTATGTCTTTCTGAGGAAACATTAGAATACGTAGGACAGGGTACAGGATGAGATAGAAAAGGTAGGCTGGGGCTAGATCACTTAGGGCTTTGGAGGGCATGGTAACAGATCTGAATCTTATTCTGATTTCATAGGATGCCACTGGAGTTTTTAAGTAGGAAAATGACATGATTTGATTGACACTTTAGAAAGAGCCCCATGGTGGGGAGGGAGGTAGAAAACATCTGGCTTTGAGTGTGGTGAATAGACACTAGGTGAGAACAAGGGCAGGCAGAGAGGCCAGTTTGGAGGAAATAATTGCAATACTCTTTGTCTGGAGATGATGCTAAATTGGTGGTGATGAAGGTGAAGACAACGGGACTTCCTGATGGATTGGATGGGGGCAGAGTGCTGGAAAGGGAGAAATGAAGCTTGACTTCTAGAATGTTGGCTTTAGCTGTTGACTGAATAGTGGTGCCTTTTACTGAAATGGGGATCACTAGAAGAGCAGCAGGTATGTGGGGAGAAGTTATGATGTCACAGATTATGAAATAGAAGCCCATTCTGAGGAAGGTGCTTTGTTTAAGAGGAAAATAAATCTCATATTCTCAAAATCTCTGATGTCCTGTTTCATAATATTGGATTCTAGTGACAGTTTTCTGTGACTTGCCAAATTGTGCTAAACTTAGCAAAGAAAATGTATTATCTGAATAATTTCTAAAGAATTAAGGAGATGCTGTCCTATGTTTGCCAAATTTGCTCTTGTTTCCTCCTGAGCAGATCTGCGAAGCAGCTTGCCACTCTCTTTGTGAACCTGTGTGTCACTGCGGAGACCCATGAGGTCTCTGCTCTCTGGTTCCTGTGGTACGTGAAGCAGTGTGGGGGCACGACCAGAATCATCTCGACCACCAATGGAGGGCAGGTAGCCATCCGTCCCCCCACTGTCCTAACAGAAAACCACCATTACAAAAGTGAAATTGGCATCATCCTTCAATCATGAACTGCTGAAGCAGGAGGCAGGCTTGCGGCTTTTAGAGCTTTACCGTGGCAGCTCCCAGTGGCTTTCACAGGGACAGTCTGTTGTAAAGGTACCCACTGTGAGAACCCAGTGGCCAAAGTAATTTTAAGACTAGGCTGGTCTCCCTTTATGCACTTTTGCCATTTCCCATTTTAATATACAGCCTGTTGTTATTTGGTAAGTGTGTAGGAGACCATCTGATGAACATAGCTTGAGCATTTCCTGGAAAGCTCAAAAAGGAAACTCAGAAATGCATTTTCAATTTAAAACACTCAACACACATAGAATTTATTTACTCATTCATTCATTCATTCGATGCCCTTTTCCTGAGCCCCAACATTGTATAAGGAACTGTGCAAGGCACAGTAGGAAGCAGATAGAGTTCTCAGATAATCTGCTAGGTAGTCATATTCCTTTATTCCTCCTCCTCCTACGACTCTTCCTTCTCCTCCATCATCCTCTACTTCTCCTCCCACTCCTCCTCCTCCTCCCACTCCTCCTCTTCCTCCTCCCACTGCTCCTCCTCCTTCCATTCCTTCTCCTGTGACTCCTCCTCCTCCTCCACATCCCTCTTCTCCTCCTCCTCCTCCTGCTCCTCCTTATCCATTTCCTTCTCCTCCTCCTCCGCTTCCCTCCTCCTCCTCCTCCTCCTCCTCCCACTCCTCCTCTTTCTCCTCCCACTCCTCCTCTTTCTCCTCCCACTCCTCCTCTTTCTCCTCCCACTCCTCCTCTTTCTCCTCCCACTCCTCCTCTTTCTCCTCCCACTCCTCCTCTTTCTCCTCCCACTCCTCCTCTTTCTCCTCCCACTCCTCCTCTTTCTCCTCCCACTCCTCCTCTTTCTCCTCCCACTCCTCCTCTTTCTCCTCCCACTCCTCCTCTTTCTCCTCCCACTCCTCCTCTTTCTCCTCCCACTCCTCCTCTTTCTCCTCCCACTCCTCCTCTTTCTCCTCCCACTCCTCCTCTTTCTCCTCCCACTCCTCCTCTTTCTCCTCCCACTCCTCCTCTTTCTCCTCCCACTCCTCCTCTTTCTCCTCCCACTCCTCCTCTTTCTCCTCCCACTCCTCCTCTTTCTCCTCCCACTCCTCCTCTTTCTCCTCCCACTCCTCCTCTTTCTCCTCCCACTCCTCCTCTTTCTCCTCCCACTCCTCCTCTTTCTCCTCCCACTCCTCCTCTTTCTCCTCCCACTCCTCCTCTTTCTCCTCCCACTCCTCCTCTTTCTCCTCCCACTCCTCCTCTTTCTCCTCCCACTCCTCCTCTTTCTCCTCCCACTCCTCCTCCTTCTCCTCCCACTCCTCCTCCTTCTCCTCCCACTCCTCCTCCTTCTCCTCCCACTCCTCCTCCTTCTCCTCCCACTCCTCCTCCTTCTCCTCCCACTCCTCCTCCTTCTCCTCCCACTCCTCCTCCTTCTCCTCCCACTCCTCCTCCTTCTCCTCCCACTCCTCCTCCTTCTCCTCCCACTCCTCCTCCTTCTCCTCCCACTCCTCCTCCTTCTCCTCCTTCTCCCACTCCTTCTCCTCCCACTCCTCCTCCTCCAACTATTCTTTCTCCCACTCTTCCTCCTCCCACTCCTCCTCCACCTCCTCTCACTTCTCCTCCTCCTCCTTCTCCTTTTCTTTCTCCTCCTCCTCCCCTTCCCTTCTCCTACCACTCCTACTCCCACTCCTCTCCCCACTCCTCCTCCTTCCACTCCCCCTCCTCCCACTCCCACTCTTCCTCCTCCCACTCCTCCTCTTTCTTCTCCCACTCCTCCTCCTCCTACTCCTCTTCCTCCCACTCCTCTCTCCACTCCTTCTCCTCCTCCTCCTCCTCCTCCTTCCACTCCCTCTCCTCCTTCCACTCCCCCTCCTCCCACTCCCACTCTTCCTCATCCAACTCCTCCTCTTTCTTCTCCCACTCCTCCTCCTCCTACTCCTCTTCCTCCCACTCCTCTCTCCACTCCTTCTCCTCCTCCTACTCCCACTCCTCTCTCCACTCCTCCTCCTTCACTCCCCCTCCTCCCACTCCTACTCTTCCTCCTCCAACTCCTCCTCTTTCTCCTCCCACTCCTCCTCTTTCTCCTCCCACTCCTCTCTCCACTCCTCCTTCTCCTCCCACTCCTCCTCTTTCTCCTCCCACTCCTCTCTCCACTCCTCCTTCTCCTCCCACTCCTCCTCTTT